TGTGCGGGGAGAAGGGTGCAACAATAAATGAATGGAATCCCAAAATCTCTGTAGATGTTCATTGAAATGAAAAATAAACAACCTAAATTTAAAAAAAAAAAATAGACAATGAAGAGACTGAAAAAAAAAAAAAATGCCTACTCTGCCACAGCCTGTGCTAGCTGCTTTACTAATGCTTACAGCTCGCTTTATAGCCAAGCCTGCTGCCACTGACCTGATTCGGATTCATGGTGGCACTGTAGAAGTTTTAAGGCTGGAAATCAGAACTAGGCTGCTCATCTTTCTCCTGTGGGTTACAAGGGGGTTTGAACTGGTGACTTCTGTTTAACAGCCATACAATCTACTGCATGACCTTTAGCTCACTTTATTCAAAACAAAAACATTGTCACCTTTCTCCCTTAGAGAAACTGGTGGATTTGAACCACTGTCCCTTAGGTTAGCAGTACAAAACTAATGTTGACTGAACTCCACGAGAACAGTGGTTCAGATCAGCAAGCTAGTCAGTTCAATCCTGCTTCTGCTCTGTAGCCACCACGTGTCAGTCCCGGGAGGTTTGGACAGAGACTGTGTGTCTTCACAGCTGTCTTGCAGGAGCCCAGAGCCTGCGTCAGAGCAGGGGTGCAGTGAGGGTTTGTTAGACGGGTGCCCATCTCATTCTGAGAAGAGGCTGCCTTTGTAGTGTATGGCTAGTTTCTTCCCTGGGGAATGAACAAACTGACTGAATTAAACAAATAGTTCCCTCATGCAACTTGTCTACCCTTTGTTCATTCTGCTTTGATTTTTACACTGTATGGGTTTTTATTTTACCATCTTAAACTATTAATATTAGGTAAGATTTTTTTTGGGGGGGAGGCATTGTTTCTGAGAGTCACTGAATGTTATCCAATAGGGCGCAAGCTGATGGACTGATCGAGACAAATGTCCAAGTCACTGATCGGCAAAGCATTTCTTTCTCAATCAGAATTGACAACAATATGGTGCCCTGAAACCATCTGTTTTCTAAAGACTGAAAAGCACACACCACCATAAAGGCGGTTCCCTCCACCACCCATCGCTGGGCAGAAGTAACATTTCCTGGCTGGCCCTGGAAGGCACTGAGGTGCTCACCAACAGGTGTCATGACAGGTCTGCAGTATGGAGGCTGCACCAGGGGAGAAAGATGGGCAATGTCTTCTCATAAAGATGTACAGCCTCAGAAACCACACGGAGGACCACGAGGAGCTGGACTCGACAGCAGCGAGCTTTGGGCTCAGGGATGACCATGCGTTGTCACCTTCCATTCTGTACTTTTGTCCAGGGAGATGTTTTCATGCACAGGGAGCCTCTGTTCACACTGAACTAGGGCTGAGGTGGCCCAAGGTGGTGGGAGCGGCCTCTCTGACTGCTGGACAGAGGTGCCACACGATCAGGCCTGTGCCTGCTCAGACTTGACTCGAGACTAGCTCATCTAAGACCAAATCACACTTGACTCATGGAAATGTCAGCCATATCAAGAAGATAGAGTGACCCCTGCATCCTGTGCTTCCTGGAACGCTCAGAGCAAAGTACCCCAGACTCCAGAGACACAACCAGCCAGCATGCCTGGTGCCGGGCTTTTAATGAAAAGTTTCAACTTTTATAGATAATTGTATTTGTGGACAAATTTTCAACCTAAAGGAAAAAGTAAGGGATTAGCTCATGTTGCAATACTTAGGAAAAGCCTCCAGTGTTGCTCTCGGGAGGCCCTCATTGGCCCAGTTTCTCCTTATCTGTGGCTAGTCCTTGATCAGGTGACACTCAGTTCTGGGAAGTGATGACGTTAGACATCCCACACTTATCTTTATTCAGGTGCAAGTATCACAAGGCATCTTAAATCAAAACCCAGTAGTATAAACATGCACCAGTTTCTTCCGTCATCTTCCAAAAGTAGAAAATAATTATTTTCATTGTTAAGTCCCAGTCCTTCATAGTAAACTCAAGAAAAAGCCACATTCAGGATTTCTGGACCTCTTAGCCTGCAGGTGGGCGGTGGAAGCTTCTGTTAAGAGCAGGAGTATCTTCACTGGAAGGCGGATGAGGTCAAGGTCAAGTGTGTCTGTTTTCCACTCACCAGCAACAGACTCTGGACTGAATTGTAAAGACAAGCTGAAAAAGCTTATTTAAGACTACCTACAGATTCTAATTATGCTTTCAAAAAAATCCTACTGTCAGAGGCAGTGAAAACTGTTTATGAAATGTTTATGTGTCAACACTGTAAATATTGTTGCCCTTCACTGCTAATACAAAAATAGTTTCTGGCTCTACTTAAAAGAGCTGCATAGAAAAAGTATCTATTCTTTTCTATTCTCATGTTTACAACATTTTTATTAAAAATGCATAAATTATCTCTGCTGTGGTGTGACCAGGAAGGTCCCTTCCTGATGACACACTGCCTTTGGTCCCACCCCCACGGGCCGGTGCAGGGGCCCTGCCAGGGAGAGGCCCGTTGGTCAGCCCTCCTGGGCTCAGGTGTACTCACTAGAGCTTTCCTGAGCCTCAGGTGAACCAGGTAAAGTTCAAAGCTGCTTTCAACACCTCTGAACTAACGTTTGCCTACAAACACAGGCGCTGCCAGTGTCAAATCAGCCAGTGAACTATTGTAGGTGGCAAGCCCTCTGGAGGGGTGTGGTCTGCGCACTCTGCTGGTTTGAGTCCCCACTCCACCTGCACAGGGAGGATCCAGGCCTGGGGCTCAGGGGGCGGCGGGCTGGTCATTGGGGCTGAGCAGCAGCTTCCCCCCGAGCTTGTCCATGCTGGAGTTGATGCTCTCGGTGTCCTTGACCTGCTCGGGGACGCAGGTGCAGCCCACCGCCACGGCCACGTAGTCCTCGGCATACAGGTAGCGGCCTCCAGCGCAGGCAGGGGTGCGGCGCAGGACCACGGTGGGCATGAGCACAGGGGTGCTGCGGAAGCGCAGGTCCTCCTCTCCCAGTGGCCCGGTCAGGCAGCCGCGGCACAGGCAGTAGGCCTCGGGCAGGTACTTGGGGTACCTGGTGGGGTCGTAGGAGATTCTGCACAGGGAGAGAACAGATTTTAGTGTGTGCCGGGGAGCTGGGAAATCATGCGCTGAGCAAAGCAGCACCATGGCTTTTGGTCCAGGACCTGGAACACATGGAGTGAATGCTGGCCGGGGTCATGGAGGGAAGGGCTGGCCTGATCCTGCCCCACGGCCTCAGCATGCAGGCCTGAACTTTGCTGATAGAAGCAGGGCCACAGCTGTCACTCCTTGAGCCATTTCCCCCTGAAACTCCTTGCCAGAGCCTTCCACAACTAGAAAAATAACTTGACGCAGTCCACACACGTGGACTAGCATGTGGCCACTCAGAGGACAACATGCAGGCTGCACCAGGGGCTCCAGTATACCCCTCTGTCCAAGGAGAGCAGGCCTGGCTCTGCAGCTCCAGTGAGTTCAGGGCACAGCTGTCCTGCCTTGCCCTGGGGACAGTACAGCTCAGGCCATCTGGCCAGTGGACACAGAAGCCTGGGCAGTGTCACCCCCAGGACAAAAGGCAGTTGACCGCACCTGTCCTGAAGCCACCAGGAAAGCTCTGTCAGCTCCCCTGCATGGTCTGCTGTCAAACCAGGCCTGCAGGCCTGGCCGGCCAGGAATATTTTACAAGTAAACAAGGCCATTTTTATCCTCCTAGTCTCTCTTCTGGTCAGAGGCCAAAAATCAAGGGTCAGTGCCTACAATACAGAGGACAGCCCAGAGCTTAGGAAATTTGTCAGTCAAGACAGATGTCCACCGAGAGGGACCCAGAGTCATCCCTTCAGAGAGACTGCTTCTCACCCCACTCACTCGCCTAACCTCAAAGCCAGGAGCCATGTGCTCTGGCCATCATGGGACCGTTGGTGCCTGTTTCTAGTCTGTGTACAGAAAGGATGAACTTGCATCCGTGACTCTGGAGCCGAGTGACAGAATCCTGAATTCTTGAAGTGGCGGTCACGACGACTCCCCTCCATGCTCTTGGAAGGCAAGTACACTTCTGCATAGCCACAGACTGTCTGGAAAGACCACTGTGGGCCTGTCAGGAGTTTGTACTTGAGTGTAAACAGAATGCTCTGTGCTCACGATGGCTTTCTACCCCACCATGTCAGGGGCCACCCTGCATCACCCTGGTTCCCACTTCATCACCACAGTCCGTGCTGGATCACTGGGAACACACTGCCATCACCACAACCCACACAGGATCACCTCAGTCCCCACTGCATCACCACAGCCCCCACTGCATCACTGCAGTCCACACTGCATCACAGGGTCCATTCTGCATCACCACAATGCACACTATATCATCACATCCACACTACATTACCACAGTTCACACTGCATCACCACAGTCCCCACTGCATCACCACATCCACACTGCATCACCACATCCACACTGCATCACCACAGTCCACACTGCATCACCACATCCACACTGCATCACCACAGTCCACACTGCATCACCATAGTCCCCACTGCCTCACCACAGTTCACACTGCCTCACCATAGTCCCCATTGCATCACCAGTCCACACTGCCTCACCACAGTCCACACTGCCTCACTACAGTCCACACTGCCACACCACAGTCCACACTGCCTCACTACAGTCCACAATGCCACACCACAGCCCACACTGCATCACATCCACACTGCATCACCACAGTCCACACTGTGTTACAGGGTCCATTCTGCATCACCACAATGCACACTATATCATCACATCCACACTGCATCACCATATCCCACGGCCTCACCACAGTCCCCACTGCCTCACCACAGTCCCCAGTGCATCATCACAGTCCACACTACAGGGCCACCAAACAGCAGAGGGGCTGCAGCCAGGGAAGGAATCAACATTTGTGCTGAAGTTGTGTGTCTCCCTGGAAGAAGACTTGTTCCCTTGTAAGCCCTCATTGTTAATGACTCAAGCTAAGAGATGTTCAGTTAATAGTTTCTGGGATCATCACATTAGATAGCAAGTAGTGTCATAGCTGGAGACATCTAGCTCAGGCCTCTGAAACCAACAGGATAGATCTCCTGGAGAATCACCATCTGGTTGGAGCTAAGGACTGTTAGTGGAGGAATTAAGAACTACTCCAAGGCAGATCTCCTGAGAGGTCCACTGCATATGTCTGCACATCCCCCACTGGATACTGTCAGCTACAAGGCAACTGCAAGTTTTAACAGAAGGTCTGTGCAGTGGTGTCTGCTCCCATAGTCAGCACTCCATCTGCCTCCCTGTGACTCCATAGCTCTGGCCTCTGAAACCAACAGGACAGACCTCCCTGGAGATCAATGAAGGTAATTAAGGTTAGTCTGCTCCCACTTCTGCTTGGTGTTGCGGACTGCAGAGGCTGGCGTGTGCTAGGAAGCAGGAGCCCTGAGCAGAACTCACACTCACTGTCAACAACTGACAAGGGGCAGCACTGACAGCAACAAGGCAGACCTCTTATGAAGACATGACCACCTTACTCTACCTGGTAACTGTTGTCTGCCAGGCTGTTTGAAATGCTACAGAAGGCCACCAAGTGGAGTCAGCTCCCACAGTCAGAACTCCACCTTGTTCCCTGTGCAACCCATAACTCAGGCCTCTGGAACTATCAAGACAGACCTCCCTGGGGATCAGTTCGGATCTGCCTGTTCCCTTTACAACTAATACTAAGGACTGATGATGGAGGCTGCGATGTGCTAGCAAGGTGGCATCCTGAGTGGAGGATACCCCCACAGCCAACACACAGTGGTGGGCTGTCATAATAACAGGTCTGATTAGAGTATGACTACCTCTCCCCCAACCAGTAACATCTGGCAGTTGGATTGATAGAAACTTCTACAGAAAGCTCTCTGCAGTAGAATCAAGAGATGGGTCACCTACGTGGAGACTTCCCAGCCACCATAGGGCCACTGAGGTTCTGAAACCAAAACATCGCCTGGAGGTCCTTCCACGGAACACCAGCCCCTTCAAGTCTGTCCGTGTTTCCCCTGAATGCCAGCTTAGCTATAAGAAGCCCACAGAGGAGTGAAGAAAACTTCAGGCAAAACTTCAGCAGGAGCTGAGTAGGGGTTTTCTCACTGGCAACATGATTACAGAAACAGAGAAGGGAGAAATAACCAGAAAGGGTATTCCACTCCTTGGTGGACAGACTGATGAGTACATGGTATCTTGCCCAAGTGGTGGTTCCACAGACTGACACAGTATACTTCTCTGGTATGTTTTCAAGAGACTGGAAGTTGGAAAAAAAAGATCTGGAATATCAATTAAACCACAGACAAAGAGCGGGCTATATTACAGCGAGGGATAGGAGACAGTAAGAAGAGGTCAAAAGCTCTGTCTACTTAAGACAGAAAGGTGTTGCTGTTATTAGATGCTGTAGAATCAACTTAATGATCTGTGAGATCCGCACTTCAGATGTGAACCCTGCCCCATCCTTTGCCCATTGGGGGACAGATTTCAGAGGCACTTCCAGATTAAGACGGAGTAGGAAAGGAGGACTGGACCGGCCGTCCACTTCTAAATTATCTGGTCCCTAAAAACCTTATGAACAACACAGGAACACCGTTAGACACAGCTCTAGAGGTGGAGCCCTCAGAGTGGAAGATGGTCAAAACAGTCAAAGAGAAATTAAAATGGTTACATTTACAGATTATGAAGAGCAATGAGAATAAAGGTTCAAAAAGGCAGAACACAATTTAATGACATTATAAAACAATAACAAGAGCTCTAATGTACATAACAGAGAAATTCCAGGAGGAGATGAAAAGAGAGGAAGGGGCAAATAGAATATCTGACTAAACAACAATGAAACAATTTCTCAGTCTAATGAAGGGCATGAATCTACAAATCCAAGAACTCAAAGAACCTTAAGCAGAGTAAACCCAGAATAATCTGCCCTGGTTTTTCAGTTACAATGTAGTCGTTCCACAGGTAAGATCTGATACCAGTGTAAATCCTTCCCTGATTAGGTCTAACATAATAATCTCCATAACGGCTATGAGCAGCCAATCAGTTGAAAGGAGTTTAATTGGAGGGTGTGACCTGCCCTAAATGTATATGGATGACTGGCGAAGTTCTTTCTTTTTGCATGCAGGCCTGTCTTGTCACTGTTCAACTTCCAGTTCTCTGGGTTTGATCCAGCAGCCTGCCATGCTGCCTACTAATCTTAGATTCATCAGTCTTGGAAGCTAGCACTTTGCTGTCTGACCTGCTGATTTTATGCTCATTAGCCCCTGTAATTCCATGAATCATGAGAAGCTTCGAGCCTACGAATGTGTGATCCACTTCCTTGAGATACGCGTATGGGTATCTTAGAATAAACCTATCTATCCATCTATCTATTCAGCAATCTATTGATAGAAAAGGGTCTTCCTTGAAAAGGGACATTATGCTTGAGCGGAGGGTCAACAAAGGAGAGGAAGATCCTCAACCAAATGAACTGACACAGTAAGTTCAGCAACGGGCTCAAGGATGTCAGAGATGTTGAGGAGAAGTTAGGGTTCAGACCTGTGGTTCATAGGGTCGCTATGAGTCATGTTTGACTTGACAGCACCTAAAAACAACACCAAAGATAGTTAAATCTTTCTTGGATGAGGTATAGCTAGAATACACCTTAGATGGGACTTTAGGTATATTAACAAGAGGAAGAGGGGCCAGACTCCGATGAGGCAAGGGTCAGTGAAAGAACCTCACTGAGATGGACTGACGGCCTGCACTGTGAACTCACATAAGTGCAGATTGTGAGGACGGTGCAGGAGTGGACAGCATGTCATTTCATTGTACATGGAGTCGTTACAATTCAATAGCACCTAATAACATTTCCAACCATTTTCTACATCATTCAGCACACAGTGCCACTATATTCAGGACAGTATGGACGTAGAGGAAGCCTAGTGCTATCCAAGGACTCACAACTGGAGGGACCTGGGCACACAGCCCTGGCTGTACAGCACTGACCAGCCCAAGAGGTGACAGATGCTTCTGTGAAAGGGACCCTGAGCAGATTCGTCCAGGTGAAAAAGGGAGAACGGATCTTCTGGGCAGAGAAACAGCAAGGTGCTACGGAGATAGAATGTCACAATCAGGAACTGCAAATAGAGGTAAACCAGATGACACGGGTAAGAAGTGATTTGAGCTGTCAACAGGGTCTTAAATTAAAAATAAAGAACTTGGATTTGCCCCTGAAGCAATGGGAGCCAATGAAAGGTGTCAAGAAGGGAGTGATACCATCAGACGGTATCACAGAAAGGCCCCTCAGAGTGCTGTGTGGGGGACGACCTGCCACTCAAAAGGGAGTCTGGCTGAAGGTGGGCATTGCTGGATTGTTGGACTAAAGGTGTGAGCCAAGTAAGTAACTTAGAAGTGTGTGGAGAAAACATAGCAAAGCCAAACAGAGGGAACAGCTGACAGAAGTGTCCCACAGTCAGAGAGATGAAAACATACAGAAATAAGCGAAGCCTGAGACCTGGCCAGCTCTGTGGCCAGAAAAGGGACAGCAGTGGGCAGGGTGCAGAAGGTCTTTGTTCTTTCGGGGTGCCACCGACTCAAGACAACCTCGTGGGACAACACAGAGCTGCCCAAGAGTTTTCTGTCTTCACAGAGGAGGAGTACCAGGTCCTTCTCCCATTGTGTGGTCTCGAACCACCTCCTGTTAAA